ATTTCTGTTGATATTAACTTTCCTTGCATTCCACTGAAATGACAAAAAGATTATTTTGTATGTACTTACTGCAGAAAAAAAGAGAATTTGGGGCGAAAAAAGCACAGACCCTATGATCTGGTCCATCTTCTCTTTGCTATTTCAAACTACTTAAAGCATAATGTCACACTGAAACGCATACTTTGAGTGCTGCATTCTCTTTTGACAGATTGTTATGATATTTTCCAAGGTGACCTTCACAAAAGATGTTTCTTTTGAGGCTTGTATTTCACTCTCAGGTCATAATAGTTCCACACAGACAAGTAAACCATCAGCTCCCGCTTTCTAATTAATGGTTCTTGGTGGCTTCTGAGTGGGAGACATAATTAATAGCACTTAAGTCTGGAGTGCAGAGACATCTATAGCTGATTACTAGAATGTGTATTTACCTTGGGATTATACGTAGACAGCTCCTAAGTGCAGCCCTGAACAGCTCTTGACAATCCTCTCTGGGAAGTCCCCAGGACCAGGCATCACCCTGAGTCTTAAAATTGCCCTGCATATAAAGTGAGGCTCTGAAATTGAGGGGTCCCTGCCTGCTGTACCCCTTCCTCGTGCTCCCATTCCCTGTACAGAGTCAAAAGCATGTTGCATTTTCTATGACTGCATGGTGATTCTGCTTGCCAAGAGGCTGCCTGCAGTGGAGGAACATCTGTTGCAGAAAATACGCCTGGCCATGTCTATTGTCACTGTGGCACCCACTCAGGGGACACCCTGCTCCCTGCTTCCCATTGCAGGTACAGCACCTTCTGGGGCAGACTGTCCTCACTGCATGGCATGTGTCCCAGACTCACTCTGGGGATCCACTCCAAAGCCCAGGCATTATTTTGTGGTTTTATTCAGTTTAAATTACTAGAAACAACAAGAGGGCTTTTCTTACAGTGAAACAGCCACAGAAGGGTGTTGCAAGCCATCCTGTCACATTTGCTTAAACCAAAGGCAAGTGATGGAATTGCTCTGGTGCTCACACTCATGCATACAGCATGGATTGTCAGAGGTGCTGGAACAGAACCAGATGCAAGCTGAACTTCCAGTTTAAAATCCCTCTGGTCAGCTGCTGCTAACAGTGGTCACTTCCCTGCAAAGTCAATAGAACAACATCTTTTCACACATGCTGAGATCTTGGTGCAGAAGAGGCAGCAGTAAGACAGGATGAGCGCTCTCAAAGAATCAGACTTCTCTCTTTTGAAGTTCGGAAAAAAAAAAAAATTGAACAAAATTAATATTCTCTGACAAAGTTGAAAGGATGATATTCTCCAGAAACACTGCCAGACTGGGGATGGAGGGGAGAATTGACATCAGAAATCCTGCATGACTGTGCAGCCTGCATTATTTGGAGACATTTTAAAATTAATTTTGCATGTTGAACGACACAAAATATTCAAATGGTAAAGTAATTAAAAGCAATTGTACATTTGTAACTCAAAAACACCAGGCAACAGAACATCACTGTCAATCCCTTTATGCAAAGGGACGTTCTGACATTGTACTTGAGACTGACTACTTTTCTAAGAGCATAAAAGTATAACTTCAGTTACACATAACACAGGAAAACTTCTACTGAAACTTGTGCAGCCTGGTTCTTTCTTCAGAAACAACACCACAGAGTGAAACTGCCTTTGAAGAGAAACATTTTTCGTATACTATTTGAAGGTTAGTAACTCTTTTAATCTTTAGCCTTTTTTTGCTGGCATGTATAATTTAAAATGCACAAAACAGACTATCAAAACACTCACCCAGCTATAGATAGGAAATTTAAAAGGTGTATCTGAAAATAGGCTTGGAAATTAAGATGCTGCATCAAATCTTGCTCTTTGAGTAAGAGCTCTGTCCCTGTGGGTCCGTCT